AGGGAGGAGTGAGAAAACTGCAGCAATCCCAGAGGCATCTTTCTCCTCAACGTACTTATGACGTTTGTCTAAATGCTTGGAACAGCAATGGTGAAGCAGAAGATTCACGATGACCAAGCTCTCATCTCGGTTGCAGCGCATTTGATCATATATTTACTTTTTGCCAAGACTGCAAAAATATTTTAGGTATACATTTGAGGCTTGTTTGCTTTACAGACTTTGTAGTGGTCTATGATAACATCCTCGTACGAAGATCGATATATTGCCACTGTTATAAGACTTCTCATATGCCAGTATCAGGATGTACAGCAGAAATTCGATTTATTTCGAATACTTATTGGTCGTCTTTTAAGATATGCGTTTTCTCAGAGCGTAGTGCGCATGGAAATTCGGTTACTGAAGGAATTATGCTCTGTTCGCTTACATCACGTACTACGTAAGAAACTAATCTAAATAGCAATCCAATAATTGTACTTCTGTTTCTAATTGACACCCCTCTTCAAGTTTGACTACTGTGTCTTAAATGCTGATGCGCTAGAATATGTTTGGAAACAGTTTCGCGAACATAAACTGTTTTTTTTAGATGCTGATGCCCCGCCGGCTCCTGAGCGTCGAAGGCTGTCGAAACGTAATGGCGCATATGATGCAGAGCTGAAGCTGGTGCTAAGAAACCTACTACCTTTGGTTCGTCTCGATTTCATCGTGCCTAACAATCATCCCGTACGTTAATAATTATAATTTAATGCGCGGGGTATATCGTGATCTTTGCATCCAAACGTGCAAATCGACGTAAACTATATTTGAAGCTTTGATGTTCGTTCGTAGTTTATTTTATGCTGAGCCACGTTAGCTTTTTTGGATGACTAATTGTATTGGTTTAGATTTTCGTTGATGCTATGTCTCGTGGATTAGTTGTGTGCCCCAAGGATATTTCAGTGGTCGAAAGTATACAATCAGTGATCGATGATGATTCAGACAACAACTCTAAGCTTATTTACGAACGTTGGTCTGGTTTAAACCAGCTGCAGGCATCTCAGCACCCGCGACTTTATTTGCCGTACTATGAAGAGGCTCATAAAATTTTAGAGAAAAGGGTAGCCGCATCCCCTGATCAGCTGGTGTCGCTGATTAATCATCACCCACCCGTGGATTTCTCTTCACATATACGGGACGCGCTGAGCCTACTCACGTCTTCTTCACCGTCTGTCTGTGATGATGCCGGTTACAGCGGTATTGTTCCAGGCGTTGCTCAGGAAATAGCTGGTGATTAAATATATAGTTTACTTTCGTTTTTGGGTTATCATCATCTTGTTTTTCAGTGCCAAATGCGGAGACCATTACTTTAATTCGAAAGAGAACTGAGGAAGTGCTGTTGTCTAGCACGTTGGTAAAGCGTGGTTTAGCATGTGGCTGTAGTTACCACAAGTCGGCTGTCATGAAGCAGGTATTTTCTTATGAAAGGCTTGTGGATTCTAACCCTCTATTACGCGCGTTATTTCCATAGGTTCATCTGCGCATCATTCGCGAACTTGGGCTCGAAGACTCTGTGATAGTGCTGTTGGAGGAGCCAGGTCGTTGCCTTCATGATTCTAGATATTCGAAGCTGGAAGCTTCTCGTTGTGACCGGAATTCCAATTCCTGTTATATCTCTCCTCTTCATGGCAGTCGCGCGAGTCTAAACGTTAGCGCAACCGTTTGTTTTTGTTTTGCATAATGAAACTATTTTCAGAAACCAAGCAGCACCACCTCCAAGTGCCTGCCTCCCAACTTGCCTGATCTGATGCCGCTCAACAGTGTTTTGGCCCTGCGCAGCCATACGACAACTGACGACGACGGTTACAGTTCTTATTTTATCGAATCTTCTGAACATAGCTGATTTTTTGTCATGCTGAATACGTTGTATCTTCATTGTCGTTGTTATTCACATGGGACGGATCAAACTGTAATTCTGCTGCAGCTAACCTCAGGCGTTGTTCCTCTCTTTCTGTTCTGCTCGGTTACTACCGTTTTAAAACAGAAGTCCTGTGAGTGAGCTCTCATTGTTGAAGTAGAATTTACCTGTTTCTGCCGTTGCAAATGGAATTATTTTTATATATGTGATTTTTATTATCTGAGAAAGTTGCTTCATGATGTAATAAATTTTTATTTTCACAATCTATCATTAAAATGGTGAGGTGATGGGCTCTCACTTTGAGTTGCTTATTAAAATCGAATGGTACCAACTGATGCCTTTGATACAGGACTCAAATTTCGAAAGGTTCAAAGATCGACTTTTTGTATTGCAACATTGTATAACTGTTTACTAGGCGGTTCGAGCAGTTTGAGCCGTTGTACTGTCACGTTTTTGAATTCAGTTTGATTCATTGGTGGAAGACAGAAAATAATAATGGGTAATCGTGCAGATGCTTTCCCTGAAACCGAAAAAATAGCATACCATATGTATGAACGAACGAATAGCAAATATCGAAATTCGGTTGACAGGACCTTTGTTAAAAATGCTCCACTACTTTAATTGGGTTGGCTCACAATCTACTTTGCATCACATGGAACTCGAGAAGTAGACAAAATTAACTACATTTCGATTTTGTAGTAATTGTCGATCTGATTCGATGGTTTGATGCAAAGCAAAGGTGATGTTACAAATACACAAATTTTAGTCCACTCTTCATCCACCGAATAATGGCCATCCTCGAGGCAAAATATCCACACAAATACAGTATGGTAAAAAATATGGAGTACTCTCGGAACCTATAATGTGGCAAAGAGTAAAATGAT